CCTGTGAGGCCATCTTCACCCCACCAGGGCCTCTGCTGCCCGTTGATGCCATTCACATTACACCTGGGCCTGTGGTGCTGACCGATATCATCCTCATTTCACCAGGGCTTGTGTTGCTAGCTGATGCGATCCACAATACACATACACACTGTGCTACTGGCTGAGGACTTTCAGATTACACCAGGGCCACTGTTGTTGGCTCATGCCATCCACATTACACCAGGGCCTGTGCTACTGGCTGAGGCCAACTACATTTCACCAGGGCCTGTGCTATTGGCTGATGCCATCCACATTTCACCAGGGCTTGTGTTGCTAGCTGATGCCATCCACATTACACCAGGGCCAGTGCTCCCTGTGAAGCTATCTTCACCACACCAGGGCCTGCGTTGCTGGCTGAGGCCGTCCTCATTGCACCAGGGCCACTGCTCCCTGTGAGGCCATATTCACCACACCAGGGGCTGTGCTGCTGGCTGATATCATCCTCATTTCACCAGGGCCTGCGTTGCTGGCTCATGCCATCCACATTACTCCAGGGCCTGTGCTACTGGCCAATACCATCCACATTTCACCAGGGCATTTGCTTCTGTCTGAGGCCATCCACATTACACCAAGGAGTGCGATGCCCGTTGATGCAATTCACATTACACCTGGGCCTGTGGTGCTGACCGATATCATCCTCATTTCACCAGGCCCTGCGTTGCTGGCTCATGCTATCCACATTTCACTAGGGCTTGTGTTGCTAGCTGATGCGATCCACAATACACATACACACTGTGCTACTGGCTGAGGACATTCAGATTACACCAGGGCCTGTGGTGCTGGCCAATAACATCCACATTTCACCAGGGCCACTGTTGTTGGCTCATGCCATCCACATTACACCAGGGAGTGCGATGCCCGTTGATGCAATTCACATTACACCTGGGCCTGTGGTGCTTACCGATATCATGCTCATTTCACCAGGGACAGCGGTGTTAGCTAAGGCCATCCACATTACACAGGGGCGTGTGGTGCTTACCAATACCATCCATATTTCACCAGGGCCAGTGTTGTTAGATGAGGCCATCTACATTACAACAGGGCCCGTGCTACTGGCTGAGGCCAGCTAAATTTCACCAGGGCGTATGTTGCTGGCTAAAGCCAGCCACAATGAACAAGGGCCTCTGCTAGTTGCTGATGCATCCACATTTCACCAGGGCCTGTGCTACTCGTTGATACCATCCACATTTCACCAGGGCTTGTGTTGCTGGTTGATGTGATCCACAATACACAAGGGCCTGTGCTTCCTGTGGTGCTGACCGATATCATGCTCATTTAACCAGGGCCAGTGGTGTTGTTAAGTCCATTCACATTACACCAGTGTGTGTGGTGCGGATCAACACCATCTATATTTCACCAGGGCCTGTGCTACTCGTTGATGGCATCCACATTACACCAGGGCATGTGGTGCTGTCCGAAACCATCCACAATACACAAGGGCCTGTGATACTGGCTGATGCCATCCACATTACACCAGTGCCAGTGTTGTTGTTGGCTGAGGCCATCCACATTACACCAGGGACAGTGCTTCCTGTGAGGCCATCTTCACCCCACCAGGGCCTCTGCTGCCCGTTGATGCCATCCACATTTCACCAGTGCCAGTGTTGTTGGCTGAGGCCATCCACATTACACCAGGCCCTGTGCTGCTTGACAATACCATCCATATTTCACCATGTCCTGTGATTCTGCCTAGGCCATCCACATTACACCCGGGCCAGTGGTGTTGGGTGAGGACATTCACATTACACCAGGGCCTGTGGTGCCTGCTTCTACCATCCACATTACACCAGGGCCTGTAGTGCTGACCAATACCATCCATATTTCACCAGGGCCTGTGATGATGGCTGATGACATCCACATTGCAGCAGGGCCAGTGCTCCCTGTGAGGCCATCTTCACCACACCAGTGCCAGTGGTGTTGGCTGTGGCCATCCACATTACACCAGGGCCTGTGATGCTAGCTGATACCATCCACATTACATCAGGGCCAGTGCTACCTCTGAGGCCATGTACCACACCAGTGCCCGTGCTTCTGGATTGGGCCAACTAGATTTCAAAAGGGCCTGTGTTCATGGCTGATGCCATCCACATTGCACCAGGGCAACTGCTCCCTGTGAGGCCATATTCACCACACCAGGGCCTGTGCTGCTGGTTGAGGTCATGATTTAAAGTCTCACACACAAGCCGTCGAAAGGGGAGGGGGGCCGGCTGCTTCCAAATAGAGCGTATTTCATTTATAATGTTGTAAATCCCATTATCTAATTATGATTTGAATCCTGGGTTGTGTGAAATCTCAGAAATGCACCCTAGACAAAGTGAATCTGTGAACTAAGGTGTAGGTATGTTAGATCATGTTGTGGTGATCCTCGAGTTGAGGGATGGGTGTTCATACTGGAGTGCAAAATTAAAACCAATGGAAGATGGACAAGAAAAGTTCAAAGCCATCAGGTGCTCAGTTTAGAAAAAAGAGAAAAGAAAAGGAAGAGAAATGAGCAAAAGATACAGGTAAGCAGACGTGTCATTGGATAATGGCAGGTCATCCTGAAACAATCAGAATCAGAGCCCGAATAAAAAAAGAGCAATTTTTTGATTGATGTTTTCTTTCCTGTTTTGTTTCCTTTACAATATTATACATTAAAGTATAATATTGTAAAGGAAACAAAACATTAATCAAAATGATAAAATGTCTATTTATTTATTCAAATGGTCTATTGTACAATGTTGGGGGAAGGTTAGAATTGGGAAACCTTGCCTGACAATAAAATAATGGTTTAGCTGAGAGTATTTAGGCCTGATTGTTTGTGCTGTGAGGCTTGAAATGGCCTTAGAGATATGTGGGCAGATAAACGCCTCTTGCTTCCACCATACTGTATTTTAGTCTTCCTCACTGTAAATCCAGTCGCAAAAGGCCGCCCCGTTACAAAGTTTCCTTCATATATTACCAATATTACCACACCAATGTTTGTGTGTACCCATCTTTGTAGTAACCATCAACTTTAAACTTTTAGGCAGAAAAGTGAAATCAAAGCCTGAAAGGTGGACCTAATGGAATAAATGTGTTATTAGCTAATTTCAAAGATCAACATGTAGCTTTGGCTTTTCTCTATTGTTCATGTGCTTCTGTGTAACTTAGAGTCTGTCCCACTGAGTGGGATTCTCCTTGTCAGCTTACCATTTCCACAACACTTGCCACTTCCAGGTGAGTCCACATCATGTACAAATTAAAGTAAAAGCTGGCTTGCAGTAGCATACTACAAAACAGGCATCAGGAAACACAAGGTTCAACCAGTGAAAAAAGCACATGATTTATTTGTTTTCTCTACATAAATCAACTTCAAACCAAGTTCATTTCCATGGAAACTTAAAAAAATTGCCCTGCAAAAACCAAGAAAGGCACACAAGGTCTCAAGTATTAATCTTATCACTGACACATAACATTTACATGTGGTCTTGTTCCAAGGATATTGTCTTAAGAGTACAACCAAGATCCCCTTTAAAATACCGTTACATAAACCTATTTCACATCTTTTAAATACATACAATATATCACTCTTAATGATTAAAACATAAATCTGCAGAAAAATAAATCAATGTTTTAATTCATGATATACAGTTTGTGAATTTTTAATGTGTATAAGATCACGAGAACAAGAATTAAATGTAGTGTTTAGTCCTTCTCAATAAATATTCTTTAAATATTCTTTCCACTGTAAAACAGAAACAGTCTTATTAATCTGACATAAATAATCCCCCCCATCGCCACACAGATACACACACGCGTGTGTGTGTGTGTGTGTGTATAGAGAGAGAAAGAGAGAGATCAGCTACATTCAAGTTATTACTAAATCACAAACTACCACAGGACAATGGAAAAGGAAACAAAAATGATTTTCAAAATAAATACACATGTAAACGAAACCAATCCCATCATCTCTTTGGTTCAACGAGCTGGTCTTTGTGTTCCTTCTTCTCTTCAACAGATATGATGGAATTAGTTCTGCATCACTTTTTCCAGATGACTGCTATCAGATTAAGTTCATGTTTCAAAAAAGTTAACAGCTCTAGGCACGATATTAAGAAGTGGTTCTGTCCAGGTTTTGGGTAGAGGTATATGAATTTATCCCAGTACAACAATAAAAATAAAAATATCAGTATGGGCATAGAGTCCTCCTCATAAGCCTCAAACTGTGACAGACAGCTCACATGGCACCAAATAAATGAACTGTATGAAAATTTTGCCAATACAAACACCAACAATATAAAACACTATTCATACAAAAAAGACAGTAAGGACACAAAGACCTAGCAACCTGTGGTGTTTCCAGTTTTAGTGGTTCTAATTGGCAGAACTACAATCGTTAAAGTGCTATTTATCATGAAGTCCTGGGCGAGTACAGTGTTACCTGAGACTCTATCATGTATGTTTTCTGTATATTTGCTACAGAACTACACAGGAAGTAAAGTATGCATGCTTGCTGTTTTTGTAGCAGGTCTGACGTTATTTTAGTCCTGGCAACGACCCCAGCTTTGATGAAGCTCTTAATTCTGTGATTGATAGCTTTAAAAAACAACTATCAAAGCTAGGTACCACTGTAAAAGGCACAAAATTACAAATAGCCCCTTAAATTAATTGGACAGGTAAGGTTGAAAAAGTTCCAACATACAA